AATTAAATTAATCAATTAATTTAATCCTAATCCTTATCCCTCTAAATTTCGAAAAATAGGGTAAGGATAATTATCAAATTAATCTAATTAAGTAACAATTATCCAAAACAAGAAACCCTAATACTTTTTAGCAATTTTGAAATTTGCAAGGGAGGAGGCTAGGGTTTTCAAAACCCTAACCCTAATTTCGATTAGGGTTCTTTGGAGGCTAGGGTTTTCGAAAAAACCCTTTTGATCCAAAACCCTAGAAATCGAAAATTTGGCCTTTAGGGTTTAATAGCTATAAACCCTAATTTGCAGTTCAACAATTGTAACAATTCAATTTAAAACAAACAATGGCTCTGATACCACTGAAGGGTTTTAGGTAAAACAAATAAACTAGAAAACAATTCCTAAGTTCACATGCAACCTACTTTGGATCTATGTTTTAACTATTGAACATATAACTTTGAATTGCAAAACAAGAACCCTAGAGGAGAGAGGCTAATTTTGAAATTAACAAACTAGGGTTTAGGAGTTACATACCTTTCAATTGTTATAGCAAAGAATTGATAATCCTCTTGATCTTGATCTTGATCTTCTTGGAAGCTTAGCACCACAAATGTAATGCCTCTAATGGAATCACACCCAAGAACTAGCAAAAAGGAAACTTGGAGGAGAGAGGATGGAGAGAGTATGCAATTTCGGCCTTAGGGTTTCTTCCAAAGAAATCAGTGACCTCAAATGTGAGCCAGGAGGCTCCTTAAATAGCTGAGGGATCTTTGGGTTTAGGGAAAACCTTAGTTATCCTTTGCTTAGGGCCTAAGCAAGATCCAAAGGCCTTATTTGGACCCCTTGGACGAAATCTCTAGGGTTTCCCCTAAGAATTTCGTCCACCTCCTTCCAAGGGGGTTCTGGAACCTTCCACTCAACTATTAGTTAATTGCAAACTAGTCCCTGCACTTTATAATTAATTCTTTTAACCCCAAAATTAATTCTGATTAATTTCTGGCTAACTATTAATTAAACATAATGATTTCTAATTAATATATTAATCTTTTAACATATTAATAAATCATTTATATTAATTCATTAATCTTATAAATTAATATCTCTCCTTTCATAATTTCCTTGTCCAGTTGCTAGGTTGAGGGCAACCCAAAAGGACTGTGCTGCTATTAATTCAAGTACATACCAATTATAGTTATGGGCTTAGACACCTAATCCAACAGACCCAACTCGTCAAGTGTAGCCCACTGAATCGTCGAGTTCTTCCAAAACTCAAGAAATCGTGAAAACCCTAGTTGACTCGCCGAGTTTCCAGACAACTCTTCAAGTCCATGCAATGTCTAAATGTCGGGAAAAACCATAACTAACTCGTCGAGTCATCTCCCTGACTCGTCGAGTCCATGCAGAACCAATACAGGCAATCTTCATCCGACTCGTCGAGTTGTCCATGCAACTCGTCGAGTCCCTTCAGTCCATTTCTCATTCAGCCGTTTTTAAGCTACCCCAAAGCTCTAAATTGCAGATCTAACCTCCTAGGGCATAGTTACCACGTAAAGTTGCAAACTTTACGTGCATGCAAGGTCTTAATGGCTTAAACCACCAAAACCAAGTCTATGATGAGATTTAGGGCATGGGGAAAGGCCAATATACGATAAAGTTGATAACTTTATGAATTTGGGGCCTAGAGGAGTCCAGATCTGAGACCATGTCCTTGTGACAAGCTCAAAACCAAAAGTGGCTCCATTAAACCTCCAAAATGACCATAAATGTCCATAGAAGAAGATCTAAGCATGAAAGGGTCAAGGTATTATCTTTATACCTCAGATTGGTTGCCAATACGAAGTAGATGACAAATCCACTTCCTCCTTTTTGATCCAAGATCCTCACTCTTCAAGTTTCCATTCCAAAATCAACAAATAACACTTTTCAAGCTCTCAACACACACAAGAACAAGGTTTAGACTGATTAGGGTTTCTTCTGGCCGTCAAAAGGTGGTAAGGGGCTGGAGGAAAGGACTTAAGGTCATTTAAATAGTGTGCAAACCCTAAAAATTAGGGTTTCCACGCACAACCTCTACTCGTCGAGTCGGGGTCCTCCGACTCGTCGAGTAGGAATCGTAATTCACACGGGCTGACTAGGTTCGACACGACGAGTTGGGGCCTCCAACTCGTCAAGTTCCCTCAATAAAATGAACATAAAGCTTTCGAAAATTATACCTGGGAGTCAGGATGTTACACGTTTGGCATGTAGTGATATTAACCCTTGAATTATAAAGACCCGTCAAATGTATTGACTATTTTGTTCTATATAGAAAACATCTACAATGCAAAGTTTAATGGAAAATTTTGAATAAGATGGAGTGTCTAATTGATATTCAATGGAATAAACTCAAAAATAATAAGATGTCACGTTAACACTCAATGAAGACGGAGTTCAATGACCATTGAACTCGTCTATAGGAAAAATAAAATATTTTTAATTTTAAAATAAATGTTCTGTTGAACTAAAATAAATGTTTCATTGAACTTTTATAGAGTTTGGTACATATTAAAAAAAAAATTAATACATATTAATGAAAGTAGAATAACGATGTGGCAATCCATTAAAACGTTATAAAGTTCAATACACTATTGATGCCTTTATCATGATGTTCAAAAACCATAAAATTGAGAAGGAAAATGCGAAAAAGAAAAGAACATATATATATATATATATATATATATATATATATATATATATATATATATATATATATATATATATATATAGCCGTTTACCCGCACCAAGCGACGGATATAAATTTTTTTTTTTAGAAATTAATTTCTAAAGACGATTAGTTTTTTTGTGTAAATAATTTACTACATCTAAACGTACTAAAAGGTGGTTACCATGATTTTTAATGCATTTGATAAAGGGTTTCTCAAAAAAAATCTCTCTTGTTCCCATGTTTTGCTCCCGATAAAAAAACATTTGAAAATTTGTTATTGATCCTCTAAAAATATTATAAATTATATGTAATTTAGTAATTTTTTTCCAGTATGATCTATAGGCAAAATGGTCATTAATGAACTATCCACTTAGACAACATTGAGAACAAAATAATTATGAAACTTCAGAAAAAATAAAAAACAAATTTGCAATGATGTTTTTAAAGATACGCCATATTTTCTTTTTGTCTTTGTTATTTCATAATCCCTACTAACTAACTGATTAAAAATGATGCAAATTTTGTCCATCATTTATTGGAAGTATTAGTTCGTAATTGAATATTCTAAGTATTATATTATCACATTTTATATTTGGACATGACTTTACATTGCGGTTGACTCATAACCTATTTATCCACTAACATTTCTAAACTCCAAAGTGTGCGATCATCCAACTAAATAAATCACTTTAATTTCCATTAGTTAGCAGTTGAGGTTTATAACCATTACCAAATCAAGAGCCAAATTATTTGGCTGCTTTCTTTTGGTTTTATTTTCTCTTTTTTTATCATTGAGGTAGGATGTATACCAAAGATTCGAACTGCATAATATAAGCACACACTCCAGATGCATAATCGTATAATAAAAAAAAGTTTATTTCATTGAGGAAAATGGTAACTAAAAAAAATTAAAAATAAAAATAAAAATAAATAAAAAACATAAAACTACAACTTTTTGAATAACTTATATTTGTTTTTGGATTGGATTTTTTTCCCCTTCTTACTTGAAGCCAAGTCGTTGGTTTGGAAACCTCTTTACGTTCTCTTCATCATGAAGGTAAGATTACAATTCATGTTAGGATGGAATAGGGTGAATGGCTACCAAAGCAGGAAAAAAAATCAAAAACATACCACTGAAAAGCTCCAATTACGTCTTATTGGTGTTGCTCTATTAGAGCATCTTTTAGCAGCAAAATGGAGAATAAGATCTTACTTTCAATTTTGGTACCATGACCAGACCATGATTTCAACCAGGATCACCCTAATGTGTACAACATACAATATAAACAGTCAATTGTAGATGAACAAATGAAATCTAAGCGCAAATTAAAACATGGGGCTGACGATGTTATCGTACCTTCATAACCCGATGTGAATTCCTTGAGTAACACGACATGTAAATAAACCAAGAGAAATGGAATTTACTTAGAAGAGAGTCATAGGGAATTAGTGGTGAATTTCCTTTGATCTCATGTGCGACTATATTCTTGCTTATCGTTAAGTACATCACAAAGCCAAGAGTTTAGCGATGAAATGCATTTGATAAACAATTAAATGTGGTCACTGAAATAATTATGATACAAAAATGCAGTGAAATTGCAATCCTTACAAAGTCAAACATGAACTTTCTTACATGAACCACCTGTCAAACATGAATATTCATATCACAATTACACCAGATCAATGAAAATAAACAAAGATGCATTGAGCACATTACCTATTTGATGTTCATTTACACTTGATCAAACATTATTTGAGTCATTTTGTCAAGCACCTGGGGTGCATTTTCTGTAACCTGCCAAAAAAATTACAAACCCAAGGTTCTTAAACCCATTAAAAGACTAAAAATGCATAAATGAATCCATGGACTAACCACTTCAATTTTACAGCCCTTCTCAACGAAAGTTGGTTTAACCCCTCAACAAAAGTTGATTTAACACCAATTAACTGCATACATCATCCAAAATTCAAACAAACATTAGAAAAATATAGAATCAAATCTATTAAAGAGTGAAAGTAAACTTACATGTGCAAAAAGCTACAGAAACCTCATGTTTTAATTTCTGAATTGAAACGTGAAATATGGTGATTACCAATATTTCCAGTCAGTAACAGAAGGTGGAGACGACGGTAAGTGGTCGTGAATGTGCGTGTGATGGTGGCAAGGTCATTTCCTTATTTCTTTATTAGAGCTTTTTATTGGAAAAACGTTTTGTAGAAGAGAGGCTGTGAGTGGTGGTGATGACAGTAAGGAAGCGGCGATGGCTCCTGGCATATTCCAGTAGAGAAACAAAGAGGCACGTGATTATTGTGGCCATCGGCTATAGTATGCTGCTGGTGGTGGTGGCCGATCATGATGGTGGTGATTCGTTGTTCTGTTAACAGCTAGGGCTTGTATCGTGAGAGAAAGCAGAGTGGAATGGAAAGGAGCTGGGATTCCAAATTCAAAAAGAATTGAATCATACGTTTGGGAAATTTTCAAAATTTGAAATCCAAAATTGAAATTGAAAGGATGACTGAGAAAATATGTGATCCCTGTGCAAGGCCATCTGGCCATTACCATGAGATCCTTCTTTCCTACCCGTTTCTGAGTGTATATGGCTTCAAGACAAATCACAAGGTGGAAAATAAATATAATCGATTCATCAGATTTAAGGTAGGGATTCGATACCAGAGAGTGGTGGTGGGTAGTGGTGGAGACAATGGTGTATGGTGGTGAACGTTGCCTGTTAGGGAAGAGAGAAGGATAAGAGTGGTGGTCGTGGTGGCTAACGTTAGCCGATGAAGGAGATGGAAGGGGTGAGGAATGGCACGTTAAGTTGGTTGTGTCTAGTTTGTTCAGAGAGGCGAATTTGCTATTTATATACAATTTAGTTCTGATATATATGAAGAACGAATACCCTTTATTCCTTCCGCATTTATGGTTCTTTGATTTGAATATTTCAACTAAAATTTAGGGATACAGAGAGATAAGGAAGAATGGTTGGCCGATTTTGATTTTTCTGCAATGCATGAAGTTGTTGTATATAATGCATTAAGGGATGTACCTCTTAAAATTCAGCATTTAGGGCTAAATGCTTATTAAGGCATATATATATATATATATATATATATATATATATATATATATATATATATATATATATATATATATATATATGACATCATCTTTATAGTAAAACGTGAAAAGAGAACCAACCTAGTTTCTCAGGACGTGATAATCGAATGGTATTTTACAATATTATATGTTTATAAATTACGAAGATGGTGCAGACACAGAAACTTACCAAAACAAACAACATATATAGAGGCGGAGACAATAGAGACATCAGGGGGCTGAAGGATGCTTTGTCCCCCTGATCACTCATCAAACTTTAGCAACATTTACAAATAAAATGAGCCCATGAGTTACCATTAAGCCCATATCAATTAATTAATAATATCAGCCCCACCCAACTATTTTAAAAAACATTTGTTATCGATAGAAAACAATGTGGATATGATTATTATCATGAAAATCGAGAACCCCCTCTAACTTAAATCCTAACACCTCCATTCTATTTATTTTATTTTAAATTTTAACTAGATATTGATTATATATCCATTTGTTTACGTTATTTTAGTTAGCTATCGATCATATATTCGTTTGCTTATTTTTGTTAATTGACGATTCACCAATCACCAAGATAGTGTGTAGTTATTTTTATTCGTTAACAGTATTAATTTTCTAAAAGATATTGTTTTCGATTACACTGTTGTATCAACATAATGTCAATTTTAATTCTTATTGTAAATTTTATTTTCTGTTACTTATAATTATTAATTTAATTATATTTGAGAATTTGATTTATTATAATCACACGGTAAATTACAAACAAAAGAAAATAATCATCGGTTCTTTTTTGAAGCGAATAGAAAATGAATATGAGTCGATACTTACGGTCTGTTGAAATTATTTGAAAATTTATTATTATAATAGTCAATGGAACTTTTATCTCGACATATTTTATTTTTGAATTTTTCTTTTAAAATTTTGAACTATATTACATAATTTAGTACAACATTATACTTTAATATATTATTACAATATGGGATTATCAACCCCGTTATTCTTAAATCATTGCTCAACCCCTGAACATATAGCAGTCATATGGAGCAACAACTAGAGTCTAGTAATTTGCAATAGAGAAAGAGCTGAATGGACATGGAGGTTCCACCACTTCAATTGCTCCCTCAAGCATCTGGATAACCTTTCTCATGGTTGGCCTCAACGACGAGTTTTCTTGTACACACCAAAGACCAACCATAACAAATGTCGCAAGTTTTTTGTAGTCATTTAACGCCTCCAAATTGTTTTCAACAAATGCATCCAGTCGGCCTTCTTGATAGCAATCCCATGCCAGATCAGTTAAAAACCACCATCCCTTCGTTATCACTCTCAAAAGCCAAGCTCTTTCGGCATGAAATGATCTCTAAAAGCAACACACCAAAGCTATAGACATCAACCTTTACTGTGACTGGCATGTTCCTAAACCATTCAGGAGCAACATATCCTTTTGTTCCTCTTATTCCAGTGTTTGTATGACTTTGATTCATCATCAACAGCTTCGCCAATCCAAAGTCAGAAATCTTAGCATTGAAGTAGTCATGAAGAATATATTCTGAGGCTTTATGTCACAGTGAATGATCTGGGTGTTACACTCTTCATGAAGATATGCCAGTCCCTTAGCAATCCCAACAGCAATATAACTCCTCTGTCTCCATGTAGGCTTCGTGTCCCCAAAAAGATACTCCGCTAAAGTGCCATTGCTCATAAACTCATAAACCAATACCCGCTGCTCACCATCATCACAGTACCCAAGAAGCTGCACCAAATTTTTTGATGAGTCCTTGCAATAACATCTACCTCGGTTTTGAATTCTTTTTCGCCATCTTGAACCACTGTATTCAACTTCTTCACGGCCACTATCCTTTTTCCTATCACACCTTTATAGACTGTCCCAAAAGCAACCTTACCTAATTCATCTTTGAATCCATCTGTAGCTTCAACTAGCTCTTGATATGTAAACCGAGGCAGATTGGTTTCAACATCTTTAATTATTGAATATGTGTTTCTCGGCTTCTTCTTGGAGATTACAAAGAAACCCACACAAATCACACCAATCAACACAAAGATTACAAACACAGAACTACCTAAGAGAACCGATCCGACAACTATCAGACTTCTTCGATCTATTTTTTCTCCGGGGAGCCGAGAAAAAATAGATTGTTGAATTCATCCCTCCACCTATCTCCACAACCTGAGTAGGCAACAGGGTGTTTGCTGGAAAATCAAAACTACCCCATAACTTGCGAGAATTGCTACCAAAAATCACGAAGTTACCTGTATCATTCATAAAACCTGATGCAACAGCAGAAATGGACCCAGATCTCCATACCTGTGTGCCCTGAGGATCAGTGAGTACGAGTCCACTTGCACGAAGTAGCTCAACTTTGGATCCTGTAGGCACCATCGGACCTTCTTCTGGATACCAGACCATGGTCCTGTCAGGTATCTTGTTATACCATATGGATAACAAGAAATTATCGGTTCCTTGAACTTGTTGGAACCCAAAGGCAAACTCACCGGATGATGAGCTCTGACACGCTATGCATACACACATAAGATTTTTGGATTATGGTGGAGGGTTCACTCTAATGCCAACCATGAGATATGATCACACCAGAAGCACGATCGAGGGATTTCAAACTGGTGGGAATCGGAGTAGAAAATTGTGTACTAAGAGTGTGTGATAGAATATTTGGAGATCGTAACACACGGTATATATATTTTTTTGTATGCTTGATTTTTTTTTTTATTTATGATGGGTTTTTGACATAATGAACCAAGTTTCTATTACGAGTTCTACACTTGCAGTTGTTATTATTGTCTTTCTTTATCAAAAATAGTTCGTGTGCGTTTAGATGGCTTATTGTATTGACTACAATATATAAAAGTTCTTTAATGCCTATCAACTATTTGATAAAATGTTGAGATAAAATGTGATTTTTAGTTTGTTTGTTTTTGGGGTTTTTGGTACATCAATTTAACAAAAAACTAAAAGTATAACTTTTGGAAATCATGTTAGATTTTTCACCACCTAAGGATCTGAATATTCTCTTTAATGTAAAATGTTGGGGTGTAAACCCAATCCCACATTGGTAAACCCAATCCCCGGTAATTCCCAGTCCAAGTAAGTTGATCCTCAAGCCTTGTATCGAAAGTCTTGCTGATAGCCAGGTCGGGTGAGCGTGTCCCGAGAGTATCGGTGGTATGAAAAAGGATTGGTTATAATGAACAATCGTTTAGGGGAGGCCAGGAGCGGAACTTGGGTTTGAGGGAAGGATGGATTGGATGTGATGAACAGTCGTTAAGGGGTGGCCAAGAGCGGAACTTGGGTATGAGGGGAGGATTGTTGGGATGGAAACCCAATCCTACATTTGTAAAATAAGAAACTAGATGCAAGCATATAAGGCAATGGGTAATACCTTGTATCACCGATTGACTTTAGAAAATAGAACCTCATTGTTCTTCAATGTTAGCATAGTTGGGCTAGTAGCGATCCTAATAGAAAAAAGGTAATTCATATTATACATATACCTTAATAAGCATTTACCCCAAAATGCTGAATTTTAAGAGGTATAACTCTTTATGCGATTTGTACAATAACTTTATGCATCGAATGGTCAACAAATAGATAAGTCAAGGCTAAGGATAAGGATAACGATGGGTCATTCAATGAAGACTAATACAAATGACCATCTCCTAATTTTTTACTTAAAATATGAGAGAATCGTTCAAAGATGAACCAGTATTCCGTAATGTTCGGCGCCAACTGAATCGGTCAAGAGGAGGGAATACACGTTATATAACATTACCCCAGACCGATCTTCATTTTCATATTAATTGAGATACGATTGATATGCAGGAAACATACGTCGGCCATTGTTTACCCTGGTCTGCCTTCTCCACCAGTAAATCTTGATACATCACAACCGTCCTAGACTCATCTTCTTTATCTTCCACGACCACTGAAGCCATCAGTTCTAGGTAAGACCACTCTAAAAATTGTGGTGGTGTTTTCAATGGCAGGAATATCATCAATCGCTCTTTGGTTCCGTATAATCCACTTCCACCATCATAAACTCCACCATCGTAGAAACCCGTTTAATCCCCCAAAATACATGTTGAACAAACCTCTTGACGATGCTCTTCAAATGACAGTAAGATTTTTCATGAACCTTAGATCCTGATCAATTAATATATGAACCTTAGCCCCAAAACACTATCCCCAATTTCTAAGGATACTATTTTTATCCATCTCCATCTTTCCCCAAATGATTTTCAATAGAAATGATGTCGGACCACCACAACCTTCTCTCTTTTTAGGTTATATTCATATTCCCTTGATTCTGACGTCATCTGATTTCAATTTTGCTTCTGCATCTCTTTCCATATTCCTCTTCACCAACATATAGGTAATATATTTTGTCAAATGCTCCAACATTTCACTAACCCTCTTAGTTTTCATCTTTATTTTATGTATATATTTTTTATTTCAGGGTATGCGATCCATAGAGAAGGTAATTCTTCTCTCCTTCGCCATTTAAAGTTTTCCTTTTTTCTTTAGTTGCATAAATCTTTGATTTTGATGTAGATCTGACTTCATATGTATATGCGTGTTTCTTGAAGTTTTTTGGATATCTTATCCAACTTCCCTTTTTTGTTAGTTTTTTTCCATCATGCTTTATTCATTCATAAAAATTTCATAAAATACTAAAATAACGTCTTATTAGGTTTTGAACCAAGCATGGAAATAGAAGCTGAAACGATGGAATGAAGAAGACTTTACTTATGGTTTTAGGTTTGTTTTGATATTTTGACTGGTTTTTGATTTCTTTATGTTCATAGTTTCACCCGTACCTCCACCTCCAAAGTAATGTTCCCACCATGAATCAAGCCCTAATCCTCTTCAATTCTTCCTTCTCATGTCCAAAACATATTCAATGCTTCTGATGTGGGGTGAGAAACAGAGAAAAGAGCTTGAGGAACGAGCTTGAAAAGATGGTGAGAGAATATCTTGAAGGGCTTCACTTCTTTTATGTAGATTTTTTCCCTATTCCATGTTATATGTTTCTAATTTTTGTTAATGTGTGTGTGTTTTGTGATTATGCCTTGACCTTGAAACCCCATGGTTGTCGTTTCTAAACATAAAAAATTATTACACCTGACATATTCTTCTCTTCTCTGTATGTTTTTTTTGTTTGAACAAATGGTTAGGGAAAATCTGGACATCACCACCAGCTTCTTCCTTCCCTCATCCAGGTAATTCATATTTTGGCTGATAATTTTTTAGGATATGAAAGTTTTTTTTTTCTCTCTTTTAGGCTTTATTCCTTTCTCATCTTCTTCCTTTTCATTCTTTTCATCCGAGTACCCTATTAAAGGCTCAGCCTTATGCCCAATGGTGTTTTAGATTCTTCTATTTTCTCTGGTTATCAACCGGTTAGTGTTGTAGATAGTTGTATTTTATTTGGTTATTGACACTAAGTTTTGTTTTTTATGGCATAATGACTTAAGAAGAGCTAGATTTGTTGTTTTTATGCAATTTACTTCACTGCAAGTTGAAAACAGGGGTAAAAGAGAAAAATTACTAGATCTAACTGAAGTGGAGATTAAATTAAGTTCATGTTGGTTTTTGAAGAGCTTTAGTGGATGATATGTCATGAGTCAAGGAGATACTGTTATGATTTGCTCCTTGGTGGATAACTTTTAATTTTTTTTTCTTTTTTTTTCTTTTTATCAAAGATAATGTTTTATATAACAAATAAATTATGTTGATAACATAATCAAAATCATTTTATATTTGGCAGGTGACCCATGGCACCTAAAGATACAAACCTTTTATAAGGAAATAGATATATTATTTGTCATACTTAAAGTTTTCAATTACCATCACATAAAGTTTTCAAGTACCATCACAGGTTAGTCACCATCTTAACTTGATAGCTTGCCATGGGGAGAGGGTAAATGATGGAAATTTGTGGGGCTTGCAACATAAGAACAAAAGATTGGGTATTATCAATTCAGTCTAACCTGTTGGAATTTTGACTATGGAATCTTTCTTATGAGGGCAAGGTTTAAAAGTTAGCAAGGTATGGTAAGACTTTTTTTTATTGACTCATACACCAATATGTTCTTCTTCAATTCAGTCTAACCGACAGTGGGTTTCTCTTTTCTGTTTTAATTTTTATTTTTTTCGAAATTGTGCTTCTTCAATACTAATTTTGGTCTATTTCCACTTTATAGATGAAGGTCATGAAGCAAGATGGCTGCCTAAAGTTCTTGTTCTTTCATCTCCTGCTTCGTGTGTGATGTGTGAATGTTCAGAAGTTGAAAGTATAGATATATATTTTTTCATCATTTGGTTCACAAATTTGTTTGATTCCTCTATACAAAAGTTATGATTATTTTTCTGAACAAAAGAAACATTCATAAGTATGTCCTGACAAGGATGAGGAACAACGATTAGTACAATAAAACCAATTAAAATTATTCTTTTATTTTGTTTTAGATATTCTCTGTTTTAAAAGAGTGTTTTTTTGTGAGTGTGAAGAGTTGAACAAGTATTGGAAGTTGTTCACATTGCAGCCAATAAAAACATTGTTCCTGTGCCATGTTAGTCTTGTGGCGTCACAATGGGTTTGGGACAGGTAAGTTGTTAAATTATATTTCATTAGTTATGTGAGCTGATAACCTGAAAGTGCTAACATTGAGTTCTAGATTGAATAATCATTGCCGTTTTTATGAAAGTGGTGCACAACAAGCTGTAGGAATACAATTCAGTCGTTAAAACCTAATATGGCTCAGTATTGTTTTTTTCTTCCTTCTGCTGAAACTTAGATCCAGGTCAGTCTTTTTTATTAATGATAAAATGTGACTTCTCTTTGTTACTTTTTGATTTTTAGGTTTCTATTGCTGTAGGATAAAATTGGGAATAGCATCAGGAAATGAATATCTCTATTCTATTTGTTCTTACATAAACCCCTCTGAATCAGGTAATCCCAAAAAGTTTTTTTTTTTTGTGAACATTTTATATGGATTTTAGTTTTGTTTCACTCTCAATCTTGATATTTTTTTCAGACATGAGAGAGGAGAAAGCCTATGATTGCAAGCCCTAAATTTCAACTTAAAGGTACATCTTTCTTTCAGATCACATTATCAAAAGATATAAAATGAAAGCAGGATCTTTTTGGTCATTCTTTTGCTAATTATCAGTTTTGTTTTAAGATGGAAGGGTATTAATGTCAAAACACTAACTTGTTCTTTTTTTTTTTCTTTTTGTAAATTTATGTTTAAGGTATTGGTTAGTAATGCAGTGATGATTAGATTTCTTAATGTGAAGCTTTAGATAGAATGATTTTGTAACATCCGGATTTCCGGAGACATGATGGTGTATGTTAATCTTAAGATTTTTGAGGAGGGACTCGACGAGTAGAGGGACCAACTCGCCGAGTCGAGTCGAGATTTCCGCGTGGTTTTAATGAGCGGACTCGACGAGTCCAAGGATGGACTCGCCGAGTAGGCGCGGATTAGAGAAACCCTAATTTCCGGAGTTTGGGACCTATTTAAAGGCACTTATAGCCTCATTTGCGGCCACCCTTTTCCTGGAAGCAAACCCTAAAGGTCATTTGAGCTAGAAAGTGAGAGAGAAGCTATCTTGTGATTTTTAGTGCATCATTTGAGAAGAAGAGAAGGAGATCAAGCAAGGATCAAGAGAGGGAAAGTTGGATCCAGTGTTAGATCGTCCAGAGCTTCTGAGGAAGGTAAAAGTCTGCACCTTTCTCATTATTTTGGTTAGATCTCATGTGTTTGGAGTTCTAGGGCTTTTACCACCTTTGATTTGGGACTTTGAGTAAAATGGATTAGCTAGAAGCCTAGTCCTCAGATCTGGACCTTGTGAGCTCCCTAGAGTCCAAAGGTCCCAACTTTATTCATCCAAATGAGGGTTGTTGTGCTTATCACCTTAAGAAGGGTTTGTTTTAGCATTTTGAGGCATTTGTGCCATGCATGAACGTAAAGGTCGAGACTTTATGTGTCTCTGGTGTCTTAAAGGGCTAGATCTAGGGTTTGGAATGAGAGATCTGACTTTGGACATCTGAATGAGGAATCAAACCGAGGGGACTCGTCGAGTCCATGGGTTGACTCGACGAGTCAGTGAGGGTTTGTCCCGATGAGCTTGAGCATGCGATAGCTCGACGAGTTGGGGGTCAACTCGACGAGCTGAGCTGGACTGTCACGAGATTTCTGAGGAAAGTAAGTGGACTCGGCGAGTCGGGTCAAACATGGACTGTGGACTCGAGTTTGACTTCTGTTGACTTTGGGGCTTTGATCAACATAAGTAGTAGAGACCATGGAGGGGTAAAATGGTCTTTTATCCACTTCAAAGAGTGAAAGAGAGGAAGAATAGCCTTCGGTTATTAGAGTTGTGATTAGAGTATCACTTAGAGATATTCATCCCTTGTGTTAGGTGGAGGCTAGTTCGAGATTCGGGAGCGGGATCTTTACTTGCTGCTGGTCAGGTGAGTCTTCTCACTATACTTTACCTTGAGTGGTAATTAGAGTTATGTGACAGAGTATCTTGTATGCTATGTATGTGATGTGCTGCACTGCATTATTTCTATGTGATTTATGCTGTGTGTATTCCAGAGTTTACAGAGTTAGGACCGGAAGGTCCACAGAGTTAGGACCAGAGGGTCCACAGAGTTAGGGCCAGTAGGCCCACAGAGTTATAGCCTCGAGTGGCTAATATGTGTTATATGTGGTATTTTGGGGAACTCACTAAGCTTTGTGCTTACAGTGTTATGTGTTATGTGTTTCAGGTTTTCTCAGGTTCGCGGGACGGCACCGGCTTGATTGTACACAGCAGAGAAAGAGTTGTATTTTGAGGATCCTAGATTATTAATGGAGTTGTGCTTGTATTTTGAGTAAACGAGATTTCTATATAATATGTTATGAAAAGTATGCGATTTTGAAATGAAAAAAAATCTGTTTGAAAATTTTGGGTGTTACAGATTTGTAAAAAAAAACTTGGGATCTCTACAGAAGTACAACAACAAGTAAATTCTTTACCTTTAAAATCTTTATACTTTGATGATTTTATCATTCATGCTGTTAAATTTGTGATGAACAACGAAAAATTGATTAAGATCTTTCTAAAAGGCAAAATGGTCATTTTTTGGTTATTATTAAAGATATAGGTTTATTCTTGGTTTTATGGTTATGGATTGATACAGAGGGAAAAAGAAAAGCAAAAGGAGAAGATATAAGGGGATTTTTAAAGGAGGTTGGATGTTTTGGTACAAAAAATGGATAGAGGGCAAAATGGTCTTTTTTGGAGTTTGTCAAAAATAACAGGGTCATTTTTGTTAGAAGTATCCATCAAGATTATGGATAGCTCATGGGTAAAGTGGAATGGTTTAAAATTTTTTAAAAAAATTGTGCAATAAAAACAACAAATTGTATTTTGATGATTATAGGATTTGGCATATTGTTTTTTTTTGTTATTGACATTTGCGATTGGTTCGAGAGGAAGGGATAATGCATTTTTAAAATTTTATGGTCTTTTGGATATGGATGGTAGCAAAATTTCGGTTTTTATTAATGTAAGAGGCTTAAGGGGGTGTACTATTTGCATCTCCAATTTTTTTGATGTCTGGTACCAAAGGTATTTGAAGTGGAAAAATTCAAAATTTGATTAACATTCTCCTTTACTCTTGCAAACATAATGTGATGATTATTGGAGGACATGGAAGTTTCAATTTAACATTTGCAAGAAGGAACTCTTGAACAAAATTGTCATTTCCATGAATTTTAATAAATTTTGAATTGAAGGAGTTTCTTTTTTCGGTTCAATCCCGAACATTTTCGTTGGTTGGCTTTGAGTATTTTCCAAAAAAAAAAATCTTTTTTCGGTTCAATCCTGAACATTTTCATTCGTTGGCTTTGAGTCCCCCCCCCCCCCCCCCCCCCAAAAAAAAAAAGAACAAAAAACAAACACAAAATGATCATTTGGTATCCTTTAAGCACACTTATATTTTTAGTTAATTTTTATTTTACCTACATATTTAAATTTAATGTTTAATAAATTAATATGAAAATAAGAAATAATTTATCCAAAATGAACAAAAATATGACAATTGACAACTGATAAGTAAATTAGTTATACATGAAATATACACATATATTAAATATACTTTAATGATTCATGATATTTTTTTTTATATATTTACGACATGCATATAAAAATAAAAATAAAAATATTGTTGGGAAACTAACACCCCCTCCTTAAAAATACTATATTTGTCCCATATTTGTTGTCAACTTTTGATTTTTAAAGTCTTTATTGTTCAACTTTAATCTTAAATATGTTTGTTTTTTGATCTATAATATTTGATGGAAAATATATGAATAGATTGTGTTTTAAATATCTTTTCATTGTTATAAGTTTCATCGAGTAATATATAACACAAATAAAAATATTTAATGTCAAAATTGAAAAATAAAGGCTTGAAAAGTCAAAAGTAAATTGTAAATTTGGAACATAAAGAGTAACAATTAATAGTTTATATTTGACTTAATTAACATTTTAAATTTTTTTATTTACGACTTATTATTTTTGTTACATCCATCTTATCACCCAATACGTCTTCTTCTTTTACTACAAATTTGTAAACAATCTGAACTTTTCATTTTTATTCTTACTAATTTCGTATAATGTTACCATAACTTTTATTGTTCATTGTTTAGATTTAGTAAATTATTTGCACAAAAAAACTAATTTCTTCTACAAAGTAATTTTTGAAAAACTATTCACACCCGTCGCTTGGCGCGGGTAAACGGCTAGTATATATATATATATATATATATATATATATATATATATATATATATATATATATATATATATATATATATATATATATATATATATATATATATATATCAAGTCCATACTCAACCTACATTTAATGTTGATTCTAAAAAAACTATTAGTTTGTAATCTATTTAGTTTGCATAAATCTAATAATGAATGAAGTTATTGAATCAAAATTAGGCATATAATCATGTATAGATACATGTTTGAGCATAAACTAAATATCCTTATGAAAACTAGATGTTTGAGCATTTCAGAATATGTAAAAAATCCTTATGGTGGTCAAGCTTTTTCCATAAAACATTGTTTTATTAATGGAAATCATCTTTGAAGAATTTCTGAAAAATATTCGTTGAGAGGAAAGAATGAAGCTTTATGGTGGGGCTATAGTGACAAGAGGTGGTTTTGGATCCGATTCGAAAAAGAAATTATTTTATATCTTTTATGCCTCCAATGTATCGAAATCCTAGATCTGCCACTTAAGAATATCTCACACGATCTACATTAGAAACAAAACAAAATAACGGTTCCATATATGTCCTTATCATTTTATAGTGAATGCAAAGTGCTTAGTTAACCACTTGGGTTGTGGTGACTTGGTAAGGAATGTGGAAGATATGGTGGATAACCTATTGACCCATGTTCAAATTCTGGCACCACTCAGTCCTTGTGGTCATGGAGGTTCGCCTGCAGTGACTTCAGGGCATGAGGCAAAGCCTCATGTTTGCAGCGGGTGATTAGTCGGTGCGCGAAAGCTGACCCGGAAACCTTCGTTAGGGAAGTTCCTTTCCAAAAAAAGTGCTTAGTTGAAGTATTGCTTCGGTAAGATGCCAATTCAGAGGCTTCATGCCTGTTTGGAACATGGAAAAAAAAACAGGAAAGCACAAAATGCTTATTGATTTAAACAACTATGTAAGTTTCTTACTTATTCTTCTCATGATAAAAACAGGTTTCTTGTTGTCTCTTTAAAGGTAACTACCAAACTCCATCTCCACTTCTTTAAGAATAATAGGGTGATGGCGGGACAGCTTTTTAGGCAAAACAAGAGCTATACGCATTTACCCCAACAGTCAAAGGAAGTTCAAACCTATCCAGCTTACTCATCTTAGAGCCTACTTTGTTTGAATAGGTGAATTTCAGCGTTTTGATGTGGTATTTCCAACAAAAATTTCATAGTGACACTTGTCTTCACACGCACAATAACAACCTTTATCATCATATCCACATTATGTCAACGATTAGCTTCAAATGATTTACAACGAGTGGATATTCCACATAACCTTGATTAACGTGATAAAGTCCTGGAACATTGTATTTTGAGGGTATTTTTGTCAATAACAGCTGATGACTTTTTTTACATCCAAACACCACTAACCCCATTGTGCATCCTCAACAATCACGACGAGAGTTCGTGTGGAAAGTGAAAGTCAATACTATCAGTAAATTTCACCACACTGGTACCTGATGTTTTTAATTAATATAATATATTTCTAAATTTTAATATATATACTAATTAAAGCAATTTAAACAATTGAATTATTTATTTGGTGTTGGATTATAAATTTTAAGTTCTTTTATAGCATTGTCTAGATTTTATTTACATTGTTATTCCAAAATAACAGACGAGATTAATTTATGATTGATATTCTGGTGCGGAAAAGATATTGAAGAGGAGGACTTTGAAGAGGAGGGTTTTGAACAGGACCATCACCTATCCGGTGTTTCACGAACGCCTTAACATTAGCTGAAGCAACCTGCCTCCCATTAGAGAGTGGAAGCCTCTTCTTCCAACATTCGATGTCCCTGTATATTGCAACAGCACAGTAACAATCTTCCAAGCAGGAACTTTTGCAGGTGTCTTCATCACTCGGCTTCATGTCCACATAGTCCGACATTGGCCAATCAATATTATGAAGCTCGATGAAATCAATGGGGTCAACTTCATCACATGTTGGAGTGAAATCAGGCTTGCAATCACCACTTGGATTATTTGGGTCATGCAATGAGAACCCCTGCGGGCATTCACAGCTAATTGGGCTATTACCATTAAATCGGCAAATATTGTTATACCCACAAGCTCCACTGCCTAGACGCCCATATATATTACATATGTCTTCTGGCAGAAACCATATTACTTCCCAGATTGTATTGCCAGTGGCATTCTTGGGGTAGTAGTATTGACGAACAACACCATCAGAATCTAGAGTAGCCCTATGATAATAGTCTCCAGAAGGAAATGAGTCTCTTGGAGTAAGATCAAATCTTTGGCCATTTCTTCTCAATATATACATGTATCCCGTTGCATCGAAGATCACTTGTTCACCGGAATTTGTTGAATTGGTGGCATCATAAGTGTCACTGGTATAGTAGGCATTATAAGCATTACCTGAAAGTATATCTCGAGTGTTAAGAACAAGATTCCCATCTTGAAGCAGACGTAACTGGAATCGTCCACCAGAGAAGTTTGTTGCACTGATTGTTGAATTCATCCCTCCACCTGTCTTCATAACCTGAGTAGGCAACAGGGTGTTTGCTGGAAAATCAAAACTACCCCATAACTTGCGAGAATTGCTACCAAAAATCACAAAGTTACCTGTATCATTCATAAAACCTGATGCAACAGCGGAAATAGACCCAGATCTCCATACCTCTGTACCCTGAGGATCAGTGAGTACGAGTCCACTTGCACGAAGTAGCTCAACTTTGGATCCTGTAGGCACCATCCGACCTTCTTCTGGATACCAGACAATGGTCTTATCAGGTATCTTTTCGTACCATATGGATACCAAGAAATTATCGTTCCCTTGAACTTGTTTGAACCCAAAGGCAAATTCACCAGAAGATGAAAGCCATGGTTTCACATCGGATGTGGCTGTGAGTGATGCACCAACAGATACAGAACCATCATTCTGTGCAGCTATGAAACGTAGGAAAATAGTTAGAAAGACCAGACGCAATTGGGCTGGAGCCATATGAAGTTGGTGGAATGATGGATAACAATGATGAAACGAGTATTTAATGAATAATAAGATAGCTGCTTTATGGTTAACAGAAAGACTTTTGGAGTCTACAAATCATGCAACACGTCTCTTGTGGGCAGAAAATAAAGATTGGTCTTTATGGTTCCTTTCCTTGTAATGACAATTGTTGACCATTTCTATTGATTTTTCTTTAGTGTCATGTCAATCAATGGAAACCCACATACACGGCAGGAGACATACAATCAGCCAACTAAATAATTCAATGACAATTCAATTAAAGAAGAATTATTCCCGCCACTTTTTTTTTTTTTTTTTTCATGCATGTGTGACTTTTTTTTTCTTTTACTTTTTTGTTTTTTTAATAACTTTCTATAAATTTACGAGATACTAGTGACACTTCACTCAATGTAACTTTAAATTCATTTGTAGTGTGGTTTTTTAGTTAAATGTTATTTTTAATATTATTTTAGAACTTTTTTTTGTTTTAATTAAATTAGCAAAAGTTTATATTTACAGAAAAAAATTGTTATGTTTTATTTTATTTTATTTTATTTTTTCTTATTTTATTTTTTCTTATTAAATTAAATAAAAATTAGTGATGTTAGAAGTGGGTTGAAACTATATGATTTTCGTATGTTGTGGGTTGAGAAAAATAAAATTAAAAAATTAAAAAAAAAACAAAAAAAACTAACTGACATTAGGCTAAGTGGGTTGAAAGGGAAAATCCTCCTTAACAAAGGAAATATTGGCATGCACATTAAATTCCTTAAATTTTGTAGTAATTTTTATAATTGTTGTGTGGAAAATTTATAGAAATGGACCATGTCTAAATAAAAAAAAAATTATAAAATGATCCTTAAGTACGTATGACACAATTACACAATGGTCCATATCTTAAAATTTATGGAATGGTCCTTAAGTATGACAAAATTATAGAAATGATTTATCTGTAAGATAAAAATACATAAATGATGCATGTCTAATAGAAAACTATATGAATAGTCCTATATAAAATACAACTACGATAATGATCTATGGGTAAGATAAAGTTATAGAATTGGTTCTGTTTAATAGAAAAATTATAGAAATGGTCTATTTATAATAGCAAAATTACATAAATGGCCATTGTCTATGAAAACATTATTGTAATACTATCGGTTTAATAGCAAAATTATAGAATTGGTCATTGTATAAGAGAAAGTTACAAAAATTTTGTCAAAAAATATAGAACTAATAAACCCGACAAAACATGTAGGACATCCCCACTAGCCACTAGTTATTCAAATATAAGAGCATATGGTATGAGCAACGAAAAGTGGTATTATTGCTGATGTGGCACCTCATAACCTAGTCATAACAAGATGAACACCCCCCCCCCTTCTTGTTAAGAGAGTGTTATCGCATATCTCGTTGTGACGAAGATAAGATGCAACGAGAAGTTTAATTGGTTGTTGCCTTTATCAACCAATCAAATCCTTTTCTTTCTTTCTCTCTCTACCTCTTAACATGTTATAACATGGGGAACACCATTTCCCCTTTGGTCTTATGTTGATGTTATGGTTGAGGTGACATATGAATTTGGTGTTATAACGTGACCCATACCTAATGCTCTAAGAGGTTTGTCTACATGATAATCATCCGCCATATTTGATGGTGTTTTTTAAGTTTGTATAAAAAAAATAGTTATGGGTTTTCTTTTATTTCATTTAATTGTCCATACAGTCTCGAAAATATCATAACTCCACTAGTTCGTCATGTATGAAAAATTGAAAATAAAAAATATCATTAACTTGGAAAATTATTATCAAATAGAACATTTCCCTAAATAAAACTCATATTTTGTGAAATACTTGATTAGTTGTCATATTGGTGAAGGTTTTTGAAATGTTTGTTTCAACTTTGTTGTAACTTGTCTTCAACAAACATTTACTTTGGGATTTTTTTTTTGTTTAATTAGGGTCATGAGCACTCCCCATGGGCACCTTTATATTTGTTTGGCTAAGGACCATGTCTTCCACTGTCATAAAAAGCATATAAATGTATGTCGACATTCCATTCAACCTAATATGAAGGAGAAAGTGAACAATATTGGTGTTGGGTTCAAATTTAGTTCTGAGGTGTCAAAGTCTTTTGTAGCTTGTTAAGATTTGAAGTTTGTATGTTAGATTCGAATATATGTATTCCGTAAGGCTAGCTTAGTTTTTGAAGCTTTCATGTTTACGCCCTTATCTACTTTTTGTTCACTTTAGTTGTTCCTATAAATAAGGATAAGTACTAGGGTAAGAGTAACGAGTGTAAGAACGGTGTGCACTTTACTCTCTCATTCATGTACTCTTTCTAAAGTTATAATAGAGCCAAACAGATCTTATTCACATTCTGTGTTCTTGGTTAGATATGTACTCTGATTTCTTTCACTCTACTCGATTTATTCAAACTACATTTGCTATCGGAGATGAATTATGTCTAGTGATTTCTGTTTTTTCTCTCTTTATCAAAAGTTTTTGAATCGCGATTTCTGGTTCAAAAGTTTTCCGCATTTTTGATCTAAAAACCTGATCTAATCATTAGATTTGATTTGATTCTGTGTTCTGTTTGCACAATCAAGTATTCTCTGATCTTTTTCATAAAGATTTGTCCATCAGATTCCAATTTTTGAAACTTTTCATTATTCTAGTCCGTACAACAATAGCGAAATTCAATATGAACACAATATCTGGATTTCTCATCTTCTTGGATCGTCAACCAAAATTCCGATTCTAATCCCCGAATACTATGAACAATGGGCTGATAGGATGGAAAATTATCTGATTGGGATAGATGAAGATCTATGGTGATGTATCAAGAGTGGAAACTTTCGTCCATCAATGCTTGCTGAAATCGGAAATGTTGGTTCATCCGCAGATGTAACTGCTCAAGCTGAAAAAAAAAGCTAATGACAAGAGATGTATGCATGAACTATGCGGTGCTCTTCCACCGGTGGTCTACAACTATGTTCGTGGATGCACAACAACTAAAGAAATTTAGGATACTTTGAAAGACAAGTATCAAGGGAGTGAGAAGAAGGAGAAAAGCTCGGTTAAGCAATGTTTGCTTGAATTAGGAGATTTCACACAAAAGGAACGTGAGAATATTGAACTCTATTATGATCGTCTTAATAAATTAATCTTCAAATGCAGTCGTAAGTCGATATGGAGTCAATCGTTTTACTCTAGAATTCAACTTGACCTTCCTGATAGGACTTTGCAAAGAGTGGCGAAATATCAGTCTTATGATTAAGACTCAACAAATTTTTGACAACTACTCTTTGGGTGATCTGTACAATGTTCTGAAAGCTCATGAAAGTGAGATCAATAAAATAGCTGAAGAAACGAAATTGTGTTTGGGAGGCCCTCATACTTTAGTGTCGAAGGTGTCAGGGAAATAAACTGAGGTTGTGTAACACCTGTTCCAGGTATTATTTAACTTTATAAGTTTTTAGGGTTTAGTACCGGGACTCGGCGAGTTAGGGAGCTCCAACTCGTCGAGTAGAGATCATTATGAGGACACGGATTTTAAATCCTACTCGATGAGTCGGAAGGCCCCGACTCGACAAGTAGGCGCTGTAAAGGAAAACCCTAATTTTTAGGGTTTGCACCCTATATAATGGACTTAATCCGCCTCTTGTGGCCTCCTTTACCACTTCATTACCCAGAGAAGAAACCCTAGCCGTTCTTTTCTATTTCCTTGAGGTTGAGAGGCTAAGAGAGAGTTTTTGGTGCACTTGGTTGAAGGAGTTTGAAGATTGAGAAGCTTAGAGCGGGAAGGAAAGTGTAGATCCAACATCTACAATGTTTGGACACACATTTGAAGGTAGCAAGCTGTTACGTTGATCATTCTAGCATTAGATCCCCTTTTCTTGGATTTTAGGGCCATTTCTAGTATATTGGTGAAGCATTTTCGGGGATTGGGTAAGATCTTGAGTTGCAACTTCAGATCTGGATTACTTTAAGTCCTTAGAGTCATAAAGTTACAGAAAGAATCAAGCTTTGGCCCTTCTCTTTGGTTTAAACCCTTCCCTTAGCTTGATATTGGCATTAAGAGCTTGCATGCACGTAAAGTTTGCAACTTTACGTGGAAACCATGCCTTAGAAGGCTAGATCTGCAATCTGGAGCTTTGGGGTAGCTTAAAAACGTCAGAACACATGAAGGACTGAAGGAAATCATCGAGTCCCTTAGTTGACTCGACGATTCGGGTAGGGTTTACACATTTTCGAGATTCTGAATGAGTGCAGTGAAGGATTGTAGTTTTGGCCTGCATGAACTTTTGGTCTTCTGGACATTTAATGAACTCGACGAGTAACTTAGGTGACTCAGCGAGTTGACTCGGGATTCAGTGGAATGGACTCGGGAGGAACTCGGCGAGTTACATAGGTAACTCGGCTAGTTATTCAGTTAACTCGTCGAGTTGTTGGATGTACTCGACGAGTTGAGGTCAACATGGACTGTTGACCTTGACTTTGACCAGGGTTGACTTTGAGGATAATTATGGTATTTTGGGATTGTGACAAGTTAATCACATGATGATTATAGGCAGTTGAGTTAGAGCAGTGCGGGGGATATATCTGATCTTAACTTGTCAGTTCAGCATTCGAGAGGTGAGTCTCCTCACCATACCAATGGATCTAAGGCACCAAGGACGACTCATTTTGTGATATGTAGTATACTACCTGTAGTAGAGATATGTGGTATGATAGTTAGCTATATGCTAAGTGGTATGCTAGTGATTATATGATACTTATAGGGAAGACCATGGGGGAGCCCAGGGCACTTGGATATAAGACCATGTGGCGGAGCCCATGGCTTTTTAGTTAAAGACCATGGGAGGAGCCCATGACAGTCGGATAAAAGACCATGTGGGGGAGTCCATGGCTTGTTAGTTAAAGACCATGAGGGGAGCCCATGGCACGTTGGTATAAGACCATGTAGGGGATCCCATGGCATCCTTATATGTG